TGACTCTACTCTCGTGCAGATCTGTTCACATTGAGCATTATCAGGGACAAAATGAAGGCAGAGACTAGTTCTTATATCTGTACAAGTTATATCAACTGATTGCAATCATGTAAACACACACAAGCAGCTAAGACAAATACATGTATTCATGCCAAAAGGTTTAATGAATTGGTAGGATTAGGCTAGCCAATACAAATAATACACTGTAGGCGAAAATGACACTGTTAAACTGGTCATGTTGTGTCAAGCCTTATTGACTTTTTAACAAATCAATAATGCTTGACACAACATTACATTGGTGTGTTGGATAACTCTCCTTCAGTAGCAATGTGTTATTTTGTAGAAAATTAATTATCTTAGAAATAGAGAAGATTCAGAAGATACAAATCCTGATTCTAACATGGGTTTATTTGTTCTACAACCCAGAGCCTGCTGTGTGTGTGTGTGTGTGTGTGTGTGTGTGTGTGTGTGTGTGTGTGTGTGTGTGTGTGTGTGTGTGTGTGTGTGTGTGTGTGTGTGTGTGTGTGTGTGTGTGTGTGTGTGTGTGTGTGTGTATTCTCATGTTGGATGAAACAGAAGCCATATACAGTTTGCATGAGGAGGGCTCAGATGTCTGACCGAACAGAGCTTGACCTGCAGAGCCATTTGCTCTCTGCCCATGCTTGAGAGTCTTCATGGAGCACCGGGTTGAGGGTTAGTCATGTCGGCAGTAAATTACCGGGTACAAACAAAGCACACATGTGGGTGTTTTGTGTAGCCGTTCAGCGCCACTTATCCATGTTTTCTCTGCGCCGCACATGTTATTGTAATTGCTGTGTGAGTGCTGTAATGGGCACAAAAGAGCAAATACATTTGCATGTCAACTTTGTTCCGTTGACACTGTATTAGACGGTTTTGTTGAGTCCTATAATGCCATGAGAATATGATTCACTCTTGACACCCTCCATTACAATGTTGTTAATGGGGGAGAGATGTTGTATGATGCTCTGATAGCCGCTCCTGCTTCGCTGCATGCTTCCTGCATCGTGTTATTTCTGTTTATCTGCCTGTAGCTCTTTTGGAGATTCATTTTTAATGTGAGGTACACTAAAAGCTGGCGCAGTGGATCACCTCTATCTGCAGGAGCGCATTAACTTATGTGTGTACGTGGGTGTGCATGCGCGCGTTTATGCGAAGGCACCGTGTTATTTATTTAATGTTACGTGCATTTTATTTTAGTCGCTGAGAGTCAGTGCAATAATTATGTGCTAGAGCTGATAGAAGTAAACTGTGTTTTATTCGGAGAGGGCACGCACCGCATGAAGTACGCTGCATGAATTAGTGCGAGTTGTGTGTATCTTCCTGTCCATCAGGGTGTTATGTGGAGGCATATTTGAATTGTTACTATGGAAACGAGCACTGCCGTTATACAGGAACACATATCCGAACGGCTCTCGCTGCTCCCCCGTTCACTGTCACACTTCTTGCATTATTTTTAAAGATTTTTGCTCTTCCAGTTTCCCTCCAGTGTCTCTTCTCAGTGGATTCAGCAGCCTTTTTTCTCTCAACACACTGGATTGAGATCATTTCCCTTTTCCTTGCTTCCCATTTAGATTTCTTTAACCTCCTCCCCACCCTTGACTCTTCTTTTATCATCTTGTGCTAATCATGTCCTCTTTTCATCTTTTTTTCTTCAGCTGTGTTGCCCTCCCTCCCTCCCTCCCTCCCCCCTTCCTTTGGGTTTCTTATTGCTGTTCCTTCCTCCACCTCCATCTCTTTTGTGTATGTCTCTATTTATTCTCTCCCTCGCCCCACTCTTCTCTCTCCTCTTCTCTTCTCTCTGCTGCCTTCCTCCCACTCGTTTCCTCCTCCTCCTCCTCTCTCTCTCTCTCTCCCTCCTTCTCTCTTTCTGTCTTTTGGCTCGACTGTAGCGCCTCCATGGAAAATTCAGCTTGTTTACAATTAGCATATGCACCTGCAATTAGGTCTGACAAACCTCTGGTAATGAGGCCTTTTTAGACAAACACTTTTTAATGTAGATATCATGTTTCCTCCGCTTCTGATTTCCAATATTGCTTTCACAGATGACTCCTTGCTTTCTGACACTGTTTTCCAACTCCTGTCAGGTTTCAGTTCTTCTTACCACTTCCCTTTTTCTGCTAGGTTTCCGTTGGACTTTTGTTTTTGGTGCTGACCGCTGTTGCTCAACACACAGGGTGCTAGATAAATAAATGACTAGCAAAGGTGTTGTGTGAGCGAGGAAGAAGATTTTTACTCTACCCTTCATTTATCCCTCACCTAAAGCGCTCCTCCATGCTTAATTTATAATATGAGCATGAACATACACTTAATAAGATTCCAGGTCTTGTTATCTATGCAGAAAATATGCCCAAATTTGTCCTGCTGATAAACTTACACACACACACACACACACACACACACACACACACACACACACACACACACACACACACACACACACACACACACACACACACACACACACACACACACACACACACATACACACACAAGAAAGTGAGAAACCACAATTTTCACATCATGCTATGACTAATTGTTTCCCCTGCCTGTCACCTCCCTCTGCTTCTACGCTTCCCTCCGCCTCTCTCTTTCTTTTCCTCCATCATTTCTCCTCTGTACTCCACTGCTCTTTGTACGGCTGCTAATAGAGGAGCAGTAAATAATAGCAATAATAGTAAATAATAGGTATGCTGTTGACTTCAGAGTGCAGTGAAGGAATCTCAGAGGGATGGTGGGAGCCACCGAAACAAAACAGGTTTGGAGGGGAGATGGAGGAAAGCAATGAAAGTAGTGTGGGAGGGTAGAGGGGGAGAGACAAAAAGAAGAGAAGGAGAGGGAGTGAGAGGGGACTCAGTGTGTAATGGTCACTTAGCCTGGCAGCTAGTCCATGAAGCCATGAGGCTGTCAATCTGTCAAAATGTACCCAGTGTTGTCCTGACTCTCTCAAAACACACACACACACACACACACACACACACACACACACACACACACACACACACACACACACACACACACACACACACACACACACACACACACACACACACACACACTCTCTCTCCTTTGCGCTGTGTCTTTGATGTGTGCCACAGGGTTCCTCAAAGCCAGTCTCAGCACAGTGTAATGGATGTGGCATTGTCACTTGATGCTCTCTCAGTGTGCGGTGGTTTGATTCCCTGCGATGTGGTTCACTTGGTGTGGCTATCCATGAAGACAAGTTAACCCAACGCTGCCACCAGATGTAGCGCTGCCACACCAATAAAAAGAGCAGATGAGGTGGTTTTTACACCGGAAAACTTTAGAAAAGGGATGTTGAAGAACCAGTTTGATGAGCGAGAGTAGTGGAGAAAAAGTAATACAAAATTCTACAAACAAACACGCTTGTGTCATTTATGCACCTCAATCAATAATAATAAATAAGAAAATACTGAACTGAAATTAATAATGAAGCAGAAAGAGAATGGTATGCTCTATTTATTTTTGTTGTGATGGAGTTTTCCACATTTTAGATGAAATTGATGACTTGCTGTATTACATTACATTTCATTTAGCTGACGCTTTTATCCAAAGCGACTTACAATAAGTGCATTCGACCAAGAAGATACAAACTTGAAGAAAACAGAATAATATAAGTACATTAGGTTTCATAGAGCCAAACCATTTCAAGTGATACTCAACAGGCTTTAGATAAGCCGGTCCTTTGTTAGTATATAAGTGCTTTGTTAGTATATAAGTGCTTTGTTAGTATATGAGTGCTTAGTTAGTATATAAGTGCTTAGTTAGTATCTTTTCTTTCATTTTATTGGTCGAAGTGGAGTCGAAAGAGATGAGTTTTCAGTCTGCGTCGGAAGATGTGCACGCTTTCTGCTGTCCTGATGTCAATGGGGAGCTCATTCCACCATTTTGGAGCCAGGATAGCAAACCGACGTGTTTTTGCTGATGGGAACTTGGGTCCCCCTCGCAGTGAGGGTGCAGCGAGCCGTTTGGCTGATGCAGAGCGGAGTGCACTTGCTGGGGTGTACAGTTTAACCATGTCCTGGATGTAGGAAGGGCCAGCACCATTCACAGCATGGTACGCAAGTACCAGTGTCTTGAAGTGGATTCTAGCACTTACTGGAAGCCAGTGAAGGGAGCGGAGGAGCGGTGTGGTGTGGGAGAATTTAGGAAGGTTGAAGACCAGACGAGCTGCTGCATTCTGGATGAGCTGCAGAGGTCGGATGGCACATTCAGGTAGACCAGCCAGGTGGGAGTTGCAGTAGTCTAGGCGTGAGATGACGAGAGCCTGGGCCAGAACCTGCGTCACTTTCTGGGTCAGGAGGGGACGTATCCTCCTGATGTTGTAAAGAGTGTATCTTCAGCAGCAGGTTGTTGCAGCGATGTTTGCAGTGAAGGAAGTTTGTTATCTAGGGTCACACCCAGATTCCTTGCAGTCTGAGCTGGGGAAACAATAGAGGGGCCGATGTTGATTGTTAGATCAAGAGTGGGATAATCTTTTCCCGGAAGAAAAAGCAGTTCAGTCTTGTCAAGGTTGAGCTTGAGGTGGTGAGCAGACATCCACCGAGAGATGTCAGCTAGACAAGCAGAGATGCGTGCGACAACCTGGGTTTCTGAACGGGGAAAAGACAGAATGAATTGAGTGTTGTCAGCGTATGGTACTGTATGGTTATAAAGTACCAGCTGCATCTTCCATGAGTGTACAGGATCAAGCTCTACTTTTCCAATTATTTACCATAGCAGCGAGCTAGAAAGCTTTTTCAAGTCATTAAAACATTGTCCTGTGTTTTATCATGATCCTTTATTTTCTGATCCCGTAAAGTCTGTTTAGATGTTTTTACTTATCAATTAAATTCCATTCAAAGGAGCTTTATTGGCATGAACCTATCAAAAACATAGCATTGCCAAAGCCTGCTGTACAAGGTGTTACAAACAACAACTAAACATCATCTCTCTGTCTCTCTCCCTCTCTCTCCTTCCAGGGACGGCATTTACACTCCTTCACAATGCTTGTCAGCCTCCACCCTTCTCCCTCCCGTCTTCAGGACAAGCACTTTGTCTCCCCCCCTTCCTCCACCCCCCCTCCTCCTCACCCAGACCAGTCCTCTCATCATCCTTATCCCCAGCCTCGGCTGACCCTGCCCTTCCTCTCCTGGTCCTTCTCTCTGCTCCTCTTCTCCATTCTTCTGCTGCCCGTCTGCGAGTCCCGCAGGGGTGGAGGTCCAGGTTCGGGGCCTGGAGGTGCCCAAGGGGGGGGAGGCGGCCAGAGGGGAGGCGGCACCCAGAGAGGGGTAGTCATCCCGCCTCAATACTCTCCAGCGATACCGGGTCTTCCCCCCATCAACCCCAAACTGATCAACTCTCTCAGCATAGCGGTCATCCTGGTGGGAAACTCTAGTGAAGTAACTCTGGGGGCGGGGCTTGAGAAAGAGGACTTCCTGCACATCCCTTACCCTCCCAAAGTGGAGGTGGTCACCATGAACGAGACCGACCCCAAGAGCATCATCAATCGGATCTGTGCTCAGATGACGAGGAACTCTCTGCAGGGCGTGGTGTTCGGTGACGACACGGACCAGGAGGCCATCGCTCAGATCCTCGACTTCATCTCGGCCCAGACACACATCCCCATCCTGGGCATCCGCGGGGGCTCCTCCATGGTCATGGCTGCCAAGGTAGGAAAACAAAAAACACTTAAATGTGATTGTGAAATGTTATGTTTGACCTAATATTTGGCCACGCTGCACAATTGATAACGCAGTGTAATGACATCTCTTTATTTTTGTTATTTCTACATCCAGCAATAATTGCAATATTGTTTCTGCGATGTGATTTTTACATCATATTATATTATTTTCACACCGTTTTAATCGAGACAGAGAAGCTTGTTTTATGGGTAACTCATTCATACAATGAATCATAACACTCATATTAAGGATATTTCTGGTTCATTAAAGTTGAGAGGCCAATTAAGAGAAAAAAGGAGAACTTTCTCTCTCTTTTTTAAGATTCATCAGCCTCCCACCACTCAGTGCTGCTTGTCATTCTAACCCAGGCTCTCTGCTGATTGATTTGGTGTTAATTAATCTGGGAGCCTGACGTCATATCGGAGCTCCTGACAGCGAGTCGACTTAACTCCAAAAGGAGTCGCAGCGGGAAACAAAAGAGTACATAACTAGTCAAAAAGCATCTCTGTGTGATCGGGATTCAAGATATTTGAAACCAGGCCGCACAAGGAGAATCTAGGATCCAGAAATGGAACAATAGCTTTGAAACGTATCCTTTCAATAATGTTGCGTTAATAGGCTTAGCAATGTTTAAGTCCCCCACAGAAGAAAGACAGAAGAATGACACAATCCATACAACGCTGAGGTTGTTTTTTTATTAGCTGTCTTTGTGAAAATGGGACATATCATGGAGATGCTCTATAGTTTGGTTTGAGTTATGTCTTCAGAAACACATTGTATGTTTAATTTTCAAGACATTTAGTTTAGTTCGATTGACATTCTTTCCTTTTTGAAGTACTTAGGTAAATTCGTTCTTATTAATTCATGAACGTGATGATCTTTATCCAGAGCTTTCAGTACAGAATTTGTTTAAACTTCATGTGGCTGAACACTTAAAAAGATTAGTATGTCTTTATTTTATTTTTTTAAAGCGAATCTTGACTAGAGATCTTTTGTCAAACATTTATTTCAGCAGATAGAGACTGGTGAAGAGTCAAACTGAGATATTTAACAGTGGAAACGCATTAAAGAACTACAGCTATCTTATCTAAAAGTTAAATGACAGCAAATCAAGAAAGAGTAGTCATTTAGTTTCATAAAAAACGTTACTTAAAGGAGAGGTGTCATGCTTTTCCGGTTATTACCCGTCCCCTTGTGTGTTATGAAGGTTTTTATGCATGTAAACGGTGTGCAGAGTCAAAACCCTCAAAGTACACCCTATAGCGAGTAAAACTCTAACACAGAAAATACCTCCCCAAAACGCCTCGTTGGAGATACATCATTGTCCATTTGATTCTTCCGGGTACGGCATGATGTCAACCCGTACCCGGAACGAAATGGACCAATCCGTGGAGCCGTTACGTTAAGCCCCCGCTGATTGGTCCAAATTGACCAATCCACAGACTTCCTCACACACACATCTGTGTGCAGGGAGCAGGCAGCTCAACTGATGTCTCCTCCCTGGCTGCAGGCTGATAACAGACAGTTGGGATCGCGGCGAAATTCTCTCTGCAGACCCATTCTCACAGCGTTTATCAACCTTTTTCTTACTCAATATCAAGCCACACTTATTGTTTTTACTTCGGCTGTGACTTTGTGTGTGCTCAGGATGAGTTTGGCTGTGTTTCGCTATGTATCTAAACAAGGAAACAACACCTCCACGGAGCTCAGCGCGATTCACAACGTCCCGACCAATCAGAGCACACTGTGCTCACAGGGAGGGTGGGGGCTGGAGCTATTGGAGCTACAACGAGCCGTTAAAGGCAGAGAGTGAAATTCAGTGAATACACGAGAAACCAATGTGAGTTTGGAAAATTACACAATATAAATCTATTTTAGTAGACCTCAACAATGGAATTATGATCAGTGGAAATGGCCATGACACCTCTCCTTTAATACAAATGGATTAAATGCTGTTCAAGAAGAAGCAAAGTTCATAATGTTTGCTTTTGTTGGCATGTTTCACTGCTTGTTTTTCATTTGATTGAAAGTTGGAATTTTAGGAAAAGGGAAGTAGGCTACTGACTTCTGAAAATAAAAAAATGTGAATGACCTTTCATAAGATCCTTTCTTTGAATAATTGAAACACTGTGGAACAACCTGCTTGCATCTGTAAACATGTATTATATTACACGTGTTACGCTTTGTGTTGTCACGAGACATTATTTAATTATTGTCTGAAGTCAATGCTCGGTAGAAACATCATTATTGCACAGCAGTTCCTCCTTTAGAGAACCTGGTATGATTACATTTTGGGAAACCTTGCTGCATAAATCTGCATGATAACTAGACAAACTGATTTCTTGAAATGACTGTAGTCAAACCTTCACTTTAATATTATTTGTGTGTAATAATTGTCACGTACAAACACATTCAGCAATCACAATATCCCATCACTGAATGCCCTAATTAGAAAAAGGGGGTTAAGTTTGATTAATTGCAGCCATTATGCTGGATAATAATAAACTTGCCTGAAAACAGAGTCAGGATCAGATTCAGAAGTCTTCTATTTGTCCCACAGCGGAAACATTTTACAAAAACAAAGGGAAAGTGCAGATGAAAGGCACATACAACATATGTAGGCTAACCAATCAAATAGAGAAGGCAAACATGTTAATACAATCAAAGTAACACAACTATGGTAAAAATAGCACAAGCATAATAAAAGTAAGTGAACTAACAGCCAAAAAAACAATAATAAATAGTATTCAGGATAAATATATATTATCTGGAAATGTGGCTCCTCTTGTTGCCTCACAGATACATATAAATCAAGGTATCTCTTAACTTTAATAAAGAAATAATCAACAGAAAGAAATGTTCCCACATCATGACAGCGTGTAAAAGACACAGAAGAAAGCCGGCAGAGCCCTTTCTTCTTCTCTTCTATAAAAAGCTGTTGCACATGAAAACACAGTTGTGAACGTGATGGTGGAGTTGATTGTAAAAGAACAATGGAGGGATGATACTGTCAAGATAAAGAAGGACAGAACAAGAGAATAAATAAGTAACAGTGAGAGAGAGAGAGAGAGAGGGGGGGGGGTGATGGTTATAAAATACCACAACTTGTGTGGGTGTAAAGGAGGAAGAGGAATTTTGCTCAACATATAATTACCACATTTTAGAGTTGAAAGAGAGACAGAGGGCACACGCTGAGAGTGACATGAGGGAACGTGTGTTCAAGAGTGTAACAGACATGTTAAAGCACGGCTGAAGGACACAGCACATACGAGAACAGGTGTGTGTGTGTGTGTGTGTGTGTGTGTGTGTGTGTGTGTGTGTGTGTGTGTGTGTGTGTGTGTGTGTGTGTGTGTGTGTGTGTGTGTGTGTGTGTGTGTGTGTGTGTGTGTGTGTGTGTGTGTGTGTGTGTGTGTGTGTGTGTGTGTGTGTGTGTGTGTGTGTGTGTGTGTGTGTGTGGAGGAGTTTCCTGCGTTAGACAGCATTTGATGACACCTGGGAAATCCCACTATGGTGGTAACTTCACAGTTCGCTGGACAAACTGGAAAATGCAGATTTTTTTTTTTTAAATGTAAATCATTGCAAGGTTTTCTTGGGTTGCCCTGCTATTAAAGATTTGTTAAGGGGCATACATAATGTCTTCAGATATCATGTGCCAACAGAGAAAATACATTATTTACTAATTTGTTGACTTATAAATCAGGCTGCAAAGAGACAATATTATTTATTGCTGGTAGTGAATAATACATACTGTTAGCTTCTTCATTATGTCAATAGTATTGTACAGCAATTAATTAAAACATGTAAAGGAGAAAATAATAAGATGTATGAGGGGAAGATGTTAATCAGAATTTAGATTCTCTCTCTCTAAATATTCTCTCTTCCTACTAATCTTCAAATAATAATGAATCTCAGGGAAACTTAAATGGAGGATAATGTACATTCGACCCCTTTAATGATTTGTATCCTGTGGGAAACAGTCCTTTGACAGGCTGTGTGTAAAATGGGTCTTATAGCAGTGTAACACGAGTGTTACCTGGGTGTAACATGGGTCTAGTAGCAGTGTAATATGGTTGAATTAATAGTGTAACATGGGAGTAATAACAGAGTGATATGGGTGTTATACGAGTGTAACACTGCACGGTGTAATAGGGCTGTATTAATGTTTGATAAGAATGTAATGTAGAAAATAGCAATCAATACATTTTCCAAAATATGTAATTGTTAATGCCCATTTTAGAGTCAAATTTCATCTTGAATGCCGAACATTTAAAACAATAGCCTGTACATACAAATGAGATGGTTAACATTTACTCACTGTAGCCTCAGAGAGCACAGTTCACTTGGCTCGTTTCCCTTTAAACCTTTTTTATTTTTGTACACACACACAAAACGCAGGGTTGAATGCAGTGGACACAGTTGGCATGGCAACGCTTATATATTTCATAAGAAGCAGTTAGAGATGGGAGAGAGAAAAATAAATGATGATGATTTCTGAGTCGGACAAAAGCAGTTGTACAGGGTTTAACACTCAGTCCCCGAGGGGTGGGGTGAGGTTTTGAATAGATAATGAATAGATTAAAGCATAAAACAGGTGGAAACACAGGGGACGGAGATCAAAAATACAGTGGAGCAGAGGTGAAGTATATTTCACGGTGGTGACAGAGTATTTTTTTGTGCAACTGAACCTGTTTTAATGTTTTATTTATAGCGTTTGAGTCTAAGTAAAATATCAAAACACAACAGAACCCTCCACCTGATATCCATTTAACCCTATCCAAGACAAATAAAGCAAATCAAAACAATAGTACAACTGAAACAGTTGTATTTTATTATGTAGTTGATTCTCTTATGTGCAAGAACTTTAAACATTTTCAATTGTTCGACCCGTAAAATAAGAAAAAATTCAAGCTTTGTTTATTCTTTGAAAACGTCATCTTGGGCTGTGGGAAATTCAGAATTTAACGATTAACATTTATTTTATTTATTTA